CCAGGACTCAAAATGTTTGAAGATGCAGTTGGTACTGGCGGAAAGGATAACAAGTTACTAGATGAAGTCTCAATAGGGAAGAAAAAAGTCTAAATCAAGGTTACTGAGAATTTCTGCGAATGTACAGAGTGTAGTAAATAAGATTGGTGAATTACAGGCACAGACTCTGGCAATAAAAGACTTAGCTCAGATTTAAGACTGGCTGGGAAATATTCCTAGTTACAAGGTATTCAGAAAAGATTGGAAAGGAGGGGTGGCAGTATTGGTTAAGGAGAGCATTGCAGTGATGAAGTCTTGGATGATTTTCAGATAGCATCACTTTGGCTGGGGCTGACTATTGTAGAGGCAACAGAGTCTTTGGATTGCTGGGAGGGGCATGTTTGACAGTATTGTGTTGCTGGGAGATGGAGGATGATAATCCATTTAATATAAAAGCTAGTGTTGTAGAAAGTGAGGTGTGATTTAGCAACAGTCTGAAATGGGCGAGGACAAGTGTAGGAAACTAGATGAAGGAAGTTGAAGACCCTTACAACCCTTAGATAGGAATCTTCAACTGAGAATCTATGCGTGGTTAGAGCCCACTCGAACACAAAGGTACATAGCTGCAGGGTTCCTTGGGATATGATCCTTGGCCCAAAGACCTTCAACTGTTTAACAAATTGACATCAAGGGCACAGTCTGCTTAATGGGCAGCTCATCCACCATCAATATTTATTTCCTCCAAAGCACAGAGCTTTATGTACCATGTACAAGATGGACTGAAGCTGTTTAACAAGACATCTTTGACAGTACCATCCAAACTTGCAAACTGTACTGTTTAGAAGGACAAGGGCAGTAGATACAAGTTCTCTGCTGTGCCACACATCATCCTGACATGGAACTATATTGCCACTCCTGTGTTATCACTGGGTCAAAATCAAGGTGCTCCCTCCCTAACAGCAATGCAAAGTACCTATGGTGCATGTGGCAGCTTGTTACAACCTTCTTGAAGTTAGGGATGAATGTTACTTGCTGGCCTAGCTAACGATGCCTGCATGCTATGTATGAAGGGAAAAAAGACATCTGTGCAATGGAGAAACTGAAAAGAATGGAGCAGTCATTAAACGAAGTTGGGTGGGATGACATGTAATCAAAAAAAGTAGTTGTGGAACTCTGTGGACTTCTCAACATTAATAGGCAGTTTACCCCTAGAAATTTCAATAAAGATTTTGAAGGAAGAGCGAGCCATAGAGGGAGAAGTGAAAATTGGAAGCAGAGCTGAAGTTTTCCAGTGGAGCTGAGAGATGGTGACAGTGTACCAGGAAAACAGGGGATCAATGTAGACTGGAACAAGAATAGTCCATGTATCCCATTGACAGGCAGACATGGCTCGAACCCACATCAGTTTCTTCAGCTACAGATTTTATTTGGAGGAAATGAGTGAGGCCAAAGGAGAAATTGTTCAATGTTACAGCAATTTCAGCCAGATCGAGGAGAAAGGCAGTGGTAAATAGGGGCTGGTTAAATTTCCATTCAAGGAAGAAATGTAGGGCCTCAGGTAATCTGATGTCTGAAGATTAAATGCTGCTGGTGTATATTTTTCCATAAGTATTTTTTCTGTCTTGGTGTGGTTGCACTAAAGTACTTTTGGTAAAACAAAGAACTGCAGATGCTGGAGATCTGACATAGAGACTGCTGAAGAAACTCAGCAGATCTGATCGCGACTGTGGAGAGAAACCAATTAAAGTTTTGAGCCCCGTGATCCTTAGCCAGAATGTTCTGACTAAGAATCATTGGACTTAAATGGTTAACTGTTTTCTTTCCATAGATGCTGCCTGACCTATTTCTTAAAAGTTTTGGCTAATACCTAGTATGGCTCCCTTTTTCGAATCTTCCAAATTGTACCACAATTTAAAGTTACCTATGTAAACAAATTAATGAGTGTGTAGTCTTCTGAAATAATTTTTGTTTCAAGTTACTTTGACAAAATCTCTTTTCTCTTGATGACTTTCAATGATAAATGCAGAATGCTGGACCAGTTATCTTGATGCATCCACAGTTTTGTTTTATCTTGATGGATCCTTTGACATGTTTATAAGCTTTCCAGACATGAAGTTAGCTTTGACATTTGTTCACCTTCCTGAAGACATTAACTGACAGGTTCTCCATCAGTGGGAAACCACATCTGTTATTATCAACTCCCAAACTGTTGTCATCTTCATTGTGCTCTGAGATGGAAAAGTTTATTAACAGCACTGACCTTCTCCCTCACACAGACTTGGGAAAGCCTACCAAGGAAGCAGTTAAGATTGGTGCTAGTCATTCTGGGGAACAGGTCACTTGCATTCATGCAGCTGGTATCAATCCATTATCCATATGGACAGTTCACCCCCAGAAATTTCAAACAAGATATTGAAGGAAGAGAGAGCCATAGAGGGAGAACTGAAAATTGGAAGCAGAGCTAAGTTTTTCAGTGGAGCTGAGAAATGGTACTAGAAAAACAGGGGATCAACATAGACTGGAACTAACATCCAAAATATATGATGTATAAGGAAAAAAATTAGTGACATCAGTACTTCACTAATGATGTCAGAATAGTTTAAAGATCATTCAGAAGGATTTATAGATACTTGTAGATACTAGTCACATGTAACTTTAAAAATTGTCTTAGCGAATACTATTTAAAACGGCAACAACACACTGCAGCAACACAGAACTACGCCAAGAGGAAGCAGAATACCTCTTCCAAGTGTTCAAGGATAATGGATATCCAAAGAACTGGGTCAGAAGATGCCTACATGAGCAGCATCAGAAAGATTCTACACGCCCCGACACACTCAGCACACTACCCTACATCAGGAACACGTCGGAACTCACCACAAGACTCCCACGACTGCTGGGCATCAGAGTGGCACACAAGCCCACATCAACCCTATGACAACTGCTCACCAGAACTAAACACCCACTCCCCACCATGGACAGGACCAATGTCATCTACAAAATCCTCTGCAGAGACTGTGAGAAACACTACATTGGAGAAACAGGAAGGAAACTAACAACAAGAGTACATGAACACCACCTGGCTACAAAAAGACACGACCAGTACTCGCTCATCTCAATCCACATGGACAAGGAGAACCATGACTTCGACTGGGACAACACCAAGATCCTGGGACAGGCTAGGCAGAGACAAGCACAAGAATTCCTGGAAGCATGGCACTCCATGAAGCATGTTATTAATAAACACATTGAACTCAACCCCATATATATTCCACTACGAAGGAAACCCGGAAGTGAGGCAATCCATCTCAACGGACCCCAGAGTTTTAAAAACCAGGCAGGAAAACACACCGATGCTTCAACGGAGGCTGCACTGAGGATGTTACCAAGCATGGTAATGAAACGTCTGTGATACCAGAAACTAGCTCGGCGAGCCAACCAACCTCAACACCCACAACCCGAGCTACAGATCTACTCTAAAATCTTATTGTCTTAGCACTGAGAATGCCAGAGATTGGTGACTTTGATGTTTCGCACTATAATTTATGCATCAATCATTATGGCACAAAAGATGGCCGTTCAGCCTATGTCAGCTCTCTAGAACAATCCAGTGAGTAAAATCATTGATCATTTCTGCTTTTAGCACCTCCAGGTGGTTATTCATCACTCTGTGCTTTTTAAGAAAAAGTTCTCTCTGGTGTGCTTTTCCCATTATTGGAAAGCAGTCATTGTCCTTTGGAATTAGAGATGCTCCAAGCACCAATGAACTTGTAGAGGTGGGGAGATTTATCGTGGGCTAGCAATACAGGTTTTATTGCATGTTATTGTCATAAAGTGCTGCTTGCTTTTTTGCATCTTTTCTCCTCTTTCCATCTTCCCCTCCAACTCTCCATTTTTTTTTTCCCACCTCCCCTAAGGATATCTAGAATTGGTTAAAAGGCAAGCGGGTAATGGATTATTTCAGAAAATCTGTTGGAAGATTGAATATGCTAATTTGAGACGTGCTCATTTAACGAGAAGGAAAGATCTTTATTTAATTTCAGATTAATACATAAATATATGCATGTTCTAAAATTCAAATTCCAGTTTACCATTCTGTTGATTTTTGCACCACTTGTTTCCTCCACATATCAAAGGTTTGTTCTAAAGCAGATTCCTGTATTTTGATACATCCAGAATACAAAGTGCTTCAAAGCAAATGAATTGCTTATTGACGTGTAGCCATTGACTCACTCCTTTTGTAGATAAGTGTAGCAAACAATATCCAAACATGAAAGTTAGTAAGTTGTTTTGATGATGGATCAGGGATGAATATTATCAAGGACAGCAGGGGAGTGCCTTATTCTTTGCAATAAAAATGCTGAGGAATCTTTTGCATCCATTAAGATTTACTTTTGCTTCAGAAGATGGTAGTACATAATTCAGTATTACCTCAGTTCTGCATTGAAATAGCCCAGATTATACACTTCTATGCTTGAATGGAGCTTGAACTGAAACTCTTTACTTGCAACAATCAGTCAAGCTGACACCAGAAACATCTGTGACTGATCTTGTTTTGTAGTAAGCACATTGGTTTAGTTTTAATTTGAGCAAGAAAATACACAGAATCCACAGACATGGAATCCCTACAGTGTGGAAGCAGGCCATTTAGCCTGTCGAGTCCACACTGACCCTCAGCATTCCACCCAGACCTGCCCCCTACCCTAGAAACTCTGGGCAATTTAGCATGGCCAATTCACCTAACCTGCACATGTTTGGACTGTGGGAGGAAACTGGAGGACCCGTTGGAAACTCATGCAGACGGGGGGAGAATGTGTGGAGTTTGCACGGTCACCCGATGGTGGAATTGAACCTGGGTCCCTGGTGCTGAGGCAGCAATGTTAACCACTGTGCCATATGCTGCCCCATAATACGTCTGGTTCCAATTAACTTTCTAACTTTTTTAAATGCAAAACAACCTAGAGTAAAGGAAAGATTAGAATTGCCTTTTTTGTGAGTAATTGACTTTTTATTTTGTTCAGGTACACTTGGGAGGCAATGGATTCACAGAAGGGAATATATTACAAAATAAATCTATGTTCCCCTTTAAATTGTGGGAGTTTAAGTGCCATCTGTGCTTACAATTCTTCACAAAAAGCCAACCATTCAGTGGGTAAGTGTAACAGTTTGTTTATCTGTATTTTTTAAATGTTTTCCTGTTTATCCTATGAACACTATTCTGAATGTTAACGTGTACGGAATTTTTTTTCAGTTTAGTGGGATAGAATACAGAATTGCATTAGCGAATTCATGCACGTGACAATCAATTCTTGTTCATGACCAAATCATTTTTTTAGGTTCAAATACATTGCTATTATTGAAGGTTATATCTACAGTTCAATCTGCATGTTTTGGTGACTGAAGAGAATTTTTAAGTTGGATGTAATTCTTTGCTTTACAGTTTGAACGAATAAGAGCGAGTGTTTACTGTGTAAATTGTCAAATAAAATTTAATACTGACATCCAAAATATGTGATGTATAAGGAAAAAATTACTAAAATCGGTACTTAATGAATGATGTCAGAATAGCTCCAAGATCATTTAGTAGTAGTGGTGCTGCTGAGCCACTGTTGATGAACATTGAAATCCCTCACCCAGAGTACGTTTTGCACGTTTCCTACCTTAGTGCTCCCTCCAAGTGTTGATCAACGTGGAGTACTGATTCATCAGCTGAGGGACAATAGTACATGGTAAGCAACAGAACGTTTCCTTGCCCATGTTTAACCTGAAGCCATGGGGTCTAAAGTCAAGGTTGAGGACTCCCAGGGCAACTCCCTCCCAAATGTATACCTCTGCTGCCACCTCTGCTGGGTGTGTCCTGCTGGTGGGACAGCACATATTCAGGGATGGTGATGGTGGTGTCTGAAACATTGACTGTAAGATATGATTCTGTATGTATGACTGTCAGGCTGTTGCTTGACTAGTCTGGGGGCAGCTCTCCCAATTTTGGAACTAGCCCCAGATGTTAGGAAAGAGGACTTTGCAGGGTTGACAGGGCTTGTTCTCTTCCAGTGCCTGGATTGATGTCAGATGGTCTACCTGGTTTCATTTCTGAGAGTCTGGTCTACATATGATTCTCGAGCCACAGTATTATGGTTAACTCTTAACTGCCCCCCTGAAATGGTGCAGCAGGCTACTGAGCTCAATGGAAATAAAGGGTGGATAACAAAAGCTGGCCTTGGTAAGGACACCCAGCCCAATGAAAGAAAACTGTAAATCTCTCATGGCATATGTATTTGTGCTTAAAACCTCTTTTATGTCAATACACAGGAGTTGCTGCATTGGGCTGGTACTTTATCTTCAGCAAAAGAATAGTGATCCATGCTGGTCTCTGATCATTTTCACTGTGGGCCCCCTCCCCAAACCCTGTCCTTCAAATAATTCCCACTTAACGTCTTGCAACTTTCAAAGGCTAGAAATAAACAAAAAAAAACTAGAAAACCGCTAGTTTAGTCTGTAACAGCTTACAAAGAAGAACTATTTCTTGTTACAGCATTGCATTCCTAAGGTTATGATCTCTGTGTTCTCTGACTATGTAAGTTTCCCAGATCCATTCTCTTCAACCTTGCGAATGTTATCATTCTGTACGCTTTCCATTCCTTAAATTTGAAAATAGGATCATGAACTGGTGGGGATGCAAATTATTGCAAGAGCAAACTAAGGTAGCGAGATTTTGAACATCCAGACAAATTGGAAAAGGCAAAAAGAATTTAAAGACAGAAGCAGACTACAAATGAAAGTGTAGAAATGTGACTGGGTAGGGTGGGTGAAGGTAAAAGAGCATGATCATTAGTTTTGAACAGAGAATTATTTGCATTTTGGAGCAGTGATCTTGCAGCCACCTTTTACAGGGGCTACTACAGGAAGGGAACACAAATATGCTGGGAGAAGTGATATTTGAGCTTGAAGATACCATACGTAGCAACAGTTAAAGAATACATAACAACAGGTGTATGAAAAACTTTTAGAAATAGGTGAGGCAGAAGCCCAAGAAAGCATGTTCAAGAGTGGGATACCATCTTGGGAGAGGCGAGAGAAATCAGTTTCTGAGGAATCCAATTCCTTGCAACAATACTGTACTGTACTTGCTATACTGTATCATTAGTACTGTCTGGTTGGTTGCTAAGGAACTCTGCATCATTGCTTGCTAATATTAATTAGATAATGGTCATAAAAGCAGGTGGGGAAGCTGGAGGGGAAATTTGGTTTATTGCTGTAGAATAGATTGTATTCATGTTTAAAACACAGGCTGACCGGGATAACCTTTGCCTTGCCAATGCTGAATTTTAAAGGGTTGGTGAGGGCAATTGAATTGAATGACCATTCTGCACCGCTAGCTGAAGTTTTCAAAATGAGGTGTAACCCACGTTTCCACTGGAAAATTTCAGTCTTTTAAGCTGAGGTGCAACCGAGTGGAATGTAGCATTTTAGAACAAACAAAGAAAATTACAGCACAGGAACAGGCCCTTCGGCCCTCCAAGCCTGTGCCGATCCAGATCCTCTATCTAAACCTGTCGCCTATTTTCCAAGGATCTGTATCCCTCTGCTCCCTGCCCATTCATGTATCTGTCTAGATACATCTTGAATGACGCTATCATGCCTGCCTCTACCACCTCCGTTGGCAATGCTTTCCAGGCACCCACCACCTCTGCGTAAAGAACTTTCCATGCATATCTCCCTTAAACTTTTCCCCTCTCACCTTGAAATCATGACCCCTAGTAATTGAGTCCCCCACTCTGGGCGGGGTGGGGGGAGGAAAAGCTTCTTGCTATCCACCCTGTCTATACCTCTCATGATTTTGTAGACTTCAATAAGGTCCCCCCAACCTCTGTCTTTCTAATGTAAACAATCCTAATCTACTCAATCTCTCTTCATAGCTAGCGCCCTCCATACCAGGCGACATCCTGGTGAACTTCCTCTGCATCCTTTCCAAAGCATCCACATCCTTTTTGGTAATGTGGCGACCAGAACTGTATGCGGTATTCCAAATGTGGTCAAACCAAAGTCCTATACAACTGTAACATGACCTGCCAACTCTTGTACTCGATACCCCGTCCGATGAACGAAAGCATGCCGTACGCCTCCTTGACCACTCTATCGACCTGCGTTGCCACCTTCAGGGTACAATGGACCTGAACACCCAGATCTCTCTGTGCATCAATTTTCCCCAGGGCTTTTCCATTTTGGTTGATACTTCATTTTAACTAAAAGGAAGTGCAACTTCCCAGATGCAGCAGAATTTAAGAATGTCCAGTTAACAGTGCTGTATTGATGATTGAGAGAGATGGAGACTTGTGTTCCAAGTGGAAGAAAAACATTAGAAAACACTCAGCTAATTGGGCTGTGCCAGGACTGAATTCTAATGCAAAGCCGTCAACACAAATTAACTATTTCAGTCTATATGCCGCATCTATAGATTTGCCAGAATTCTGTTTTGACTTAAGATTTCCTTCATTCATAGTGTTTCCCTTTCAGTGCTTAGTTTCGTGGACCAGAGTCTTGGCTAATGGGATAACAAAGATGGTAGGCAGGTATTTAATGGGTGATTGAGAGGATTCAGGAATTCGAATTCAAATTCAAAAGCAGCAAAGGGAAATACCAAAGCTTGAGAGCAGATTAGCATTTTAGGTGAAAGTGAAGTGGGTCAGAAAGTGACACTGAAAATAACAAAAGTTTAAAAAACACTAATGACTTAAGGTGACTCATTAGGCACTATATCCGAATGTGAAGTGCTCACAACGAAGTACATGCATACAGTGACCTTTTCATCCACTTCATTTGATAGCCAAAGATCTGCGCAATTATGAGGTTGACCCCAGACTCCTCTTCCCTTCCCTCTCTGCCCCTACTCCCCCATTCCTCCTTTCCCCTTCCATTGTCCTCAGTAAACCAATCGCATGCTCATTTGTGAGTATATAGGAGTGGTGAGATAACAAGGTGTAGAGCTGGATGAACACAGCAGGCCAAGCAGCATCAGAGGAACAGGAAAGCTGACGTTTTGGGCCCAGACCCTTCAGAAATGGGGGAGGGGAAGGGGATTCTGAAATAAATAGGGAGGGGGGAGGCGGATAGAAGATGGATAAAGGAGAAGATAGGTGGAGAGGAGACAGACAGGTCAAAGAGATGGGGGTGGAGCCAGTAAAGGTTGAGTGTAGGTGGGGAGTTAGGGAGAGGATAGGTCAGTCCAGGGAGGATGGACAGGTCAAGGGGGTGGGATGAGGGTAGTAGGTAGGAGATGGGGGTGGGGCTTGAGGTGGGAGGAAGGATAGATTAGGGAGGTGGGGACAAGCTGGGCTGGTTTTGGGATGTGGTTGGGGGAGGGGAGGTTTTGAAGCTTGTGAAATCCACATTGATACCATTAGGCTGCAGGGTTCCCAAGCGGAATGAGTTGCTGTTCCTGCAACCTTCAGGTGGCATCGTTGTGGCACTGCAGGAGGCCCAGGATGGACATTCCTCCAAGGAGTGGGAGGGGGAGTTGAAATGTTTCACGACTGGGAGATGCAGTTGTTTGTTGTGAACGAAGTGTAGTGTTCCGCAAAGCAGTCCCCAAGCCTCTGCTTGGTTTCCCCGATGTAGAGGAGGCCACATCAGGAACAGCGGATACAGTATACCACATTAGCAGATGTGCAGGTGAACATCTGCTTGATGTGGGAGGCCTTCTTGGGGCCTGGGATGGGGGTGAGGGGGGAGGTGTAGGGGCAGGTGTAGCACTTCCTGCGGTTGCAGGGAAAAGTGCCGGGTGTGGTGGGGCTGGAGGGGAGTGTGGAGCGGACAAGGGAGTCACAGAGTGGTCCCTCCGGAAAGCAGATAAGGGTGGGGAGGGAAAAATGTCTTTAGTGGGGTCGGATTGCAGATGGTGGAAGTGTCGGAGGATGATGCGTTGGATCTGGAGGTTGGTGGGGTGGTACGTGAGGATGAGGGGGATTCTGCTTTGGTTGTTATTGCGGGGACGGGGTGTGAGGGATGAGTTGCGGGAAATGTGGGAGACACGGTCGAGGGTGTTCTCGACCACTGAGGGGGGAAGTTGCGGTCCTTGAGGACATCTGAGATGTTCGGGAGTGGAATGTCTCATCCTGGGAGCAGATGCGGCAGAGGCGAAGGAATTAGGAATAG